TATATATATATATATATATATATATATATATATATATATAAAATCCTAGAATTGTCAACCAGAGAAAGTTAGTACCTTTCTTCTCCCAAAAAACTTTGGGCAGGCGCTGGCGTCTTATCAGCACTGGGAAAGGATCTCTGCCATCATTTCGTTCATGAACTTCCCGCACCTCCACTGTGTCATCTGCCAAGTAGTAGTGGATAATAAATCTCCGGCTTTCACCAAACATGTTCCAAGTGTCATCCCAAATGGCATAAAAACGAAGAACCTGAAAAAAAAATTGAAGGGTTCATTCTCATCATGGAAGAATAGAAACTTTTCTCGTATAAGCATGATGTCTCACAGTCAAAGTGAATCACAACTTAATGAGGACAAAATCCTTACAATTACAGTTTCTTACAATTATAGTTAAGACAAGAAAGACAGTCACATTGAATCTTCAACAAAACAACATAAAATAGCAAGCCACTGATTAAATCTATTAACTGCAGATTCATATGGGTTTGGAGAGAAATGATGGTCCTCATTTAACAAGCATTTGTTCAGTGACCATTCAAACTTTATGATGGCACTAAATGAGTGGTAGGTATGACCAATCCATACTTATGGACAGCATTACATTCCCACAGTCATGTGATCATAAACTGAAGACTTGATACCTGGTTTGCAATTACGTTGCAGCACCCTAGTTTGTGACCTTTGCTGACTTCCTACAAGTAAAGTCAATGGGGAAGTCAGCAGAAGGTCACAAAAGGCAACCATGTAATGTCCTTGCTTAACAACCCACAGTGATTTGCTTAATAATGGCATCTGAGAGCACTGGGATTTCTGTTGCTAAGTGACACAATCATGTGACATTACACTTTATGACTTCATTTAGCAAGATAAATTTCAGTCCCAATTGCTGTAAAATGAAAACTATTTGTAATTTTACTATTTATGAAATTTTACTAAAAGTAAAATGACTTGTAAACTTCACGAAAAATAGCTTTACTATCTTTGAAGATGAAAGGAGAAAAGTCACTCAGCAATTACATAGCTTTACTATCACTGATAAAGAGGCTCTCAGAGTTTCACCACTGCATTTCTTAGCATCTCCTCTGGCATGCTCTAAATATATGCAAATTATATAGCCCATGCAATTTAATTTTCTCCCACTTTAAGTATGTTTTACAATTGTACTTGCTACCTACTTTTTCACAGCTTTATTTACTGTGAAATAGATTTTGTTGTTAAAATGTTTTGAATACACAAAAAGTAGGTTATGAAACAAACCTAAAGCTCACCTTTTTGTCAAATGCCAAAAACTGCTTAAGTTGATCAAAATCTGAGGGGGTGACATACATACGTGGAGGCATTTTACGTAGCTCTATATAAGGATCAAAAATCATTTGCTCTGGCGGGTTCACTTCAATTCCTTGGCTTTCCAAAAAAGTCTGTAAAGCAGAAAACACATTGTTAAATATAAATAAGCACACTAAGAAATCATACAGCAAGACTGTCTTAAACTTGCATTTGGGGATGAAACTGCGATCTGTGGTGGGCATACTAAAAATGTCTTCCCATGTTAATGAAATAAGGCAAGAAACTTCAGAACTTGCAAAAAAATCTGCACTGCCTTATCTGCCATGGCTATATTAATCTTATTAAAACTGAGTAAAATGCTACTCTATGAATGAACTGAAGTTTAGGCTCTTTTTGAGAGAGCTCTGTTCTGACCTAGGCTTCCTGAGAAATCAAAAATCACAATCTTAGTCCCAAAAATCCTCTTTTATTTATAAGACTGTGAATTATGGTCATTCACAGCCCATAATGATCACAAACAATCTGTGAAGAGTCCGACAGATGTCTGCTGGAGTTGCCGCAATCTTTCAGGGTAATGTTGATAAGCACCCACCTTTATCTCCCTTGAAACACTGCCAGAGACCTAATTGCCAATTAGTTTTGCAAGGGCAAATGTAGCACAGAGACAAACAGAACTTCTCAGAGCTTGAAACCGAATAGATGAACTAATTGCTTTCTGCAAAGGCTCATGTTTGTTTGTTCCTCTTTTATGTCTTATGGGAGGGGCCAATTATCTCCAAGCCTTATTCCCAAGTTGCCCTTTTTCTCTTAATTGTTCTTGCCTTCTGGCAGCTCTGCACATGCGCACACTGGGAAAAGGCTCACACAGTTCTTCTGCCTCGCTGATGTCAGACTCCGGAGGCTCCGGAGCCAGCACATAACTACCAGATGGCCCTGGGCCCTTCTCTGCCTCCAATGCAGAGCCCTCATCCGAGCCTTCCACAGACTCCAGGACTGGCTCATGTTCCTCCCCAACCTCCCCACTGTCCAACTCTGCTGCCAGTCCACAGGCTGCTGGCAGACCACAACAATCCCATTGTTTTTATTCTCAAAACAGACTTCCTATATTATCAAGAACCAGAGAGGGACAGGCAGACAGACACAGATCTCAATCAAATGTAAATGAAATAAATGACTAAAACTACTGTGAAAGTGTACAAGAATCAAAAATAACCATTATGAGAACTCAACTGATAATGTAGCATGGGTAAAAATATGTTTCATAATTCTAAAAATAAATCACATATACACAATGCTACTTATGGTGGAAATTTCTATCTCCAAATTATATGTTTTACTATAGAATTAAAACTATTTTATCCTCATATTAAATACTGCAGTAGGAATAGTTTATTACTGTAATGCTGTAGATTAGCAATCAAGATTACAGTACCTGGGTGAATCGATCACAGTCAACTATCCGGAAAGTCTTGCCATAGATAGTAATATTAATTCCTCGATTCAGATCTTTCCAATGATAATGATCCCCACGATCATTTTTGGGCAAACGCTGTCTTTTGATGAACTTGCCCTGAGGAATCCCTGAGTTTTCAACAATGGGCTCCATGACAGACATGCTATCATCTTCCAAATAGTAATAAATGCCCACTTGACGAATGCGGAAATGCTCTTCTGTAGACATAGGAACATCTTCTTGAAAGTATCCATCAAATTTGAGCACCTAGCAAAAAACAAACAAACCCATATATAAGGAAAATTATATTAAGGATAAAAATGATAGGAAACCCACTTGATGCTGTGTGAGATCATCAAATGACAGAAATCTATTACTGTATATTCTATTAATATTAAATGTAAGTTTAGAAAAAGCTGCACTATCTTCATAGAAGCTAGGGAATTTCTATTTAGCACCAAGCTAATAGCAATGGCAAACTATTACGATGGTAACTTTTGACTGACAAGAATACAACCAATATAAAATGTTTTAATTTTCTATAAGAGTGTTTATGGACTTAGAATATTGTCACTTTAAATGTAGAAGCAGAAGTCTCTTTACATAGCATTAACAACTTATATTAAATTTGGCACATTTATTTTTGTAGAATTAAAGCTGCCTACAATCCCCCTCCTCCACTCCCAAGGTATAACTTGGAGGTTGCTCATGTTGATCCATTCTGTCTCCATGAAGTAGGCTAAACCAAATGACTGGCCCAGAGATGCGCTGCAAGGAAGAGGATATACTTGAATCTGGTTCTACACTTCAAGTCTTAAAACATGTAAATAAACTATTGATAGTATAAAGAAAAGTAAACATAATGATGGTGAAGGAAAGCAAAATATTTAATGTCATTTTCTATTAATATATAAAAAGAAAGAAAGAATGTCTAAGAAAGACATTTTTAATTCTGTATATCATAAAAAAGGAAGAAAGAACTCTGAAACTCTATAAGTTATAGCGTGATTATAATGTGCAAATAAGAGAGACCCAGCAGACTTTTCAAAGTTTCTTTCTTGATATGGACTACTTTCATGGGGTGACAAACAGATATCAGAAATAAACAGCTAATCTTAAGCACTTAATTTTGCAATAAATACCTGTACCTGAAATCAGATGTTTGAGAAAATACCTTTTTGTCAAAAGCCACGTGTGCTGGAATGAAATCTGCAGGTGGGGCTTGTTTAGGTTCACCATAAGTTAAGGTGGGTCTCTTGTTGGATAATTCATCAAGTTCAGCTTGAGACAATTGGTTTACATAAAGCCGATTTCCACCTATCCCCACAGTTGGAAGTTTCTTAAAGGCAAAACCATTCTTGAAATCTAGAGTTTGGGAACGATGAAAAGCAGTTTTCTACAGAACAACAACAAAAATACAGACTCAAATGCTGACCAGACAGATATATCTAAAATAACACATTTATTTTTCAATTGCCTTGTCTCAAATATATTTGTCTTTAAAGCTAAATTTTATTTATCACCTTCCCATATATATAGTAATAATGTTTAAAATACATTAAGGATTTTTTTCCTCAAAAATATGTGATTATATTTTAATAATAATAGTTCACAACCTCCATAACAGTTTAAACTTTTCAGGGCCATAGAGTTTCAAATGTTTTTTAATGAGTACTATACTTAGAAAAAATAAAAATAAAAGGAATATTGATGTTTTAATAATACTCTTTAATAATACTCTTAAGACTACATTTAACATATTGATGTAAATTTTAATGAGATGTATGAGGACTCCTTGGTGCTTTCTGAGCTTGGTTGTTTTCTTACATACGTAACAATCATCAGTCCCAACATAATGAAACATCTGGAGGGAAAGAAAATAGAGTTGAAGAAGCTTCTTGGATGGCAAGCAAAACATCTTCAAAGAAAAACCAAAAAATCCAGTTGCCTCTTCAAAAGAAAAAAGAAAAAAAGTAGGGGGAGCTCCTTTGAAACAACCATGACCTGGATGACAGAGAATCACCATAGACGTCTGCAAGAAAACAACCAAGGTCAAGGACCACTCCTTTCAATCCTGAGTTACAAATATACTCCTTTATTGGTGAGATGTATGAGTTTGCATAAGATGACATATCACATCGACCTCTGATACCTTTAATATTAAATTAAAAACATTAAAAACATTCACTAACATTCAATCATTTTAATATTTGGTACTAAGAGCTGAAAAGGAAGTAGGCTATTCAATGTTTTTCTCTTACATTTTTATGCCCTTCTGTAACTTTTGTTTAAAAAAATTCTAATATTGGAGCTTTGACTTTTAAAAATACAGATGGCTACAACAAAATGGCTTGAAAGCCCTTTTAGAGACCGCAAATCCATATTTTAAAGACCTAGAGCTGTCACAATCAATGACAGGAAGGTGGGATTATTTATGAAGTATCTCATTCTTAAAGGAGGGCGTCGATCGGAGTCTTTGACCAAGTCCGCAAGACTCAGGGGAGACTCTGGGGGACGATTAGTCTAACGAGCCACACCTCTAGCTATTTCGGGGGAAATGTGATGTGGAAAGAAAACAGGAGTTTTTCCTCACCGTCGGGTCCCGAAAGGACGAGCCTGGAACAAGCGGCAAGCCTTGCACCGGCTGAAGGCTCATGATGGACGGTCGAGCAGCGAAAGGCTTCGGTAGGGACGGATCCGCTATCACCGGTAACTAAGCAACGCCGTTTCCTCGGTAACCATCAACAGTTGGGCTTTCTCTTTTTTTTTAAGGGCGCTTGCGCAGTAGCGGCCGAGGCGCTCAGTTCGGTTGGTAGGTTCAGGTGCTGCTTTTCGTGAGCCCGCGGTTGACTTTGGCTCGAGTTGACTGTATTGTTATATTATCTCATCCTCCCACCCCGTCGTATTGTCTTTCAGAAGCGCTAGATTGAGAGAAAGAAATGTCTGGATATAAAGTTGGCTTAAAGTTTGGTTTTATTGTAATTGCTTTTATTGTGGTTCGGCAGTTGCAGCTTTGCTCCTATGTAGAGGATTGACATGAGAAATTAAGCCTAATACAATGCAGCAAAGTTTACCTCGGGCGCAGTTTGAGGGCGCATGCGGGGAGTACGTGCATGGGCAGTTAGGACGGTAAGAATGTGAATATATATTAGGGAGACTTTGTTTCTCTTAGAACTCTATTAGCCTTTCTGATTGTCCGCTGTATGCAATACTACATACATGCAGTATTCGCTTCCTACTTCCAATATTCTACCATGTCATTTTTTTTCTTCAGATGCAATTTGCGAAAAATAACATTGCTTAATTTCTTGTTTGCATGGTGTTACAGACCATTTTGGAAAATAAAGAGGGTAGCATCTGAACCTGCCCTTCACATTTCAGAAATCTTTCCCAGATGGAATACTATATAATTTCTATTTACCATGCAGTAATTTATCTATAGTGAAACTTGAATTAATGGATCATTTGGGGGAAGGGGATATCTGTAAACCTAAATGTCTGCTGAATCTAAATGCATGTCATTACAATAATATCAATGTATGTCATTTGTATAATTATTCAGATAATATAAATTGTATTGCATCAATTTACATTTAATGATGTAATGTCTGGACAGACTCTGGAAATTTGAGAGTAAAATGCTTATTTTCTATTGAACATGAGTCCTTTGATTAAATCAAAGATGCTATAAACTGAGGTTTCATCTCCATAAAAATCACAATTTACAAAAAAAAGAGGTAGAAAACTCAAACACTACAAACAGCCTTCTTGAAACCTTGTAGATCCATATGTGACTAGCAACAAATCAAATCAGAAAATCCAGAACTGAAGAGGTGCCCTTACAGCAAAACCAGAAAGATTGAAAGAAGGCATAGCAAGACTTCTATACAGAGATTATGTACGAGAACACAGAAGGCAAGTAACTTGCACAAAGAGTTGTCAAATCCTTTTTTGAAAACATCCAGCAATGGTGCAGCCACAACTCCAGGAGGCAAGCTCTTCTATTGATTAATTGTTCTCACTATCAGGAAGTTTCTCCAGATGTCTAATCTGGAACTAAGGAGAAAGTTCCTGACAGAACAATTAATCAACATAACAGCTTGACTCCTAGAGTTGTGGAGGTACCATCACTGAAGGTTTTCAAGAAAGGATTGAAAAACCATTTGTCCAGGATGATATAAGATCTCAAATATTATTGAGCATAGCAGGCTCATTTCCTCCTTCCATGATCTCCTCTCAGAACTCACCCACATTTTGTCATTATCTTTAGATTCACACATATTGGTCCACACAGCAATATGTACAAAGATATTCAAGAAAAAAATGAAGTTGACAGAAAACCATTTTTAAATAAAGATAAAACACTGTTAGATGAGCGTTCAGGAGAATATTTGTGCATTAGAGTTATATAATATTTTTGCATACTAGTCACTGTGTGTCCCACAGGATTCATAAAACTTTAAGAGAGGAGTCATTTTGAGTCACAGAAAGTATATCTATATGGATTATCATTTGGATGACTTATGAAAAATCTGCAGTTTTTCAGAGGCATAAGGATGATTATTCCACTCACAGGACAGTGAGAAAAATATTAAAAAATAAAATTAGCAGAAAATTACTTTTTTTTTCAAGGGCAAATCCTGGTATGGAAATTACAAAATTGGGCATTAGTTGCGAAAAGGCTTCATACCTAAGCATACTTGCCTTAGGGAAAAATTAGTGAGATAACCTTATATCCACAGTAAATCTATGTCTTTAATGTATTGTTACATGTACTGAACTCTTACAATAGCCCTGCTACAAAATTAGACGTGTGGGTATTATGTGAAATATGAAGGCACTTTGGGTGTTTGTTTCCACAACATGTTAAGCTAAAATATAGTTGATAGTGTCCTGCAAAAAGCTACCCAGTATGGTTTAGCACATTCAGTGCATTGTGCAAATCTCTAAACTATACTAATTCAATCATTCCTGGTTGCTTTAACCACAAGAATATTCTGTTATTACAAACACATTGAGATTGTTTAATGCAAAAGGGAAACATCATTGTCGCTCACCTGAATATTTTTACTCAATTCTAACACTTTCTGATGGATTTTGATTTGATTTCTGAGGCCTCCACAGGGGGAAACAGGGCAATATTACTTTGTACTCTGTTGTAATAATTACATCTATCAGAAACTTGAATGAAAATGGCATTTTTAACGTGATATAAGCATTAAATTCAGACCAGGTCTGCAGAAGCATCAAGGTTTTCTCCAAACAATTTTTACTAACATTCTCCCTTAATCTTGCAAATCATACAGAAGCCATATTTTGATAAACATTTTGATATTAACAAATTTCACATAAAACAACAATTTCTTAAACTTTACTTAAGATATCCTCTTTCCATTCTTCACTTCAAAAGTTTATATAAAACAGTACAATTTTTCAAATGTTCTCAACAGTGCAGATTTCAAGAATTTAATATAGAAATTGTTTATATAATTCTAAAACTAACACTTTTTTAAAAAAGAAAGAAAATAAAAAACTAATTTCATTTTAGTAACAAATAATGCCTATCTTAAAATATATATTTTTAAAACTGCCTCTGAAAGATATAAACATTCAAGGCACACTTGAAACCACCACAAGTATTGGAAATAACATGTAAGTCAGTTACTACAATGTTTGGATGTCAAATCCAAATAAAGCTGAAGTTAACAACTGCAAAATAGGCATGAGCCTGTAGATAGCAAGGCTAGTTTTATTAAAGAAATGTTCATAATGGTGGAACGCTAATAATAATTTGGATTGTATCTGCAATTATTATTATTAATACTAGACTAGCAGTGCCCAACCTACTGCTCTCTGTGTATTCTAGACTTCAATTTTCAGAATCTAAAACCAGCTAAATCATACCACTTTAGAATGAAAAAACAATAATTAGAAAAAGTTGCTTTAGACCATGTAACACTAAAGTAAAACCAATAAGGCTTTCTAAAGTTTCAAAATGGCATGTGGCTGCTTCAGGGGTACTCCATGTGATCTCTGCATCACTGGGCTTACGGGGAATAAAGGAAAGTGGTTGTGCAAGCACAAGTATGCACAATCAGTCAGGATTAGCTCTTGAAATAGCTACATGAACCTTTTTCAAGACATGGCTGCTTTAACTATTTGAAAAGGTGTCCTTCCTACACATTCTGAACCAACTCTTTGAAACGTGCTAAAAAGGAGTCCTTTTATTTATCACATGTTTCTAATAATAACACATTCACTTGGATTCATCAGTCCTAATTATAACATTTTGTGCATATACAGAACTAGCAGTAAAAGGACCTGGGAATTATCAGAGGCAGATATCTGAAAAAGTGTGAAGGAGAATTTTAAGAAACTTAGTACACAGCAATTTTTCTTAACCAGCCATACATTCTAAGAGTGCTTTCATATTTAAAATTATATTTCAGGATCTCTGCAGTTTGACTAATGCTGATTATAGTATACATTTTACAATGGATTAAATTGGAGCAACTTGAACTTTTTAATCTATATCACTTTGTAAGTAACCAAGTTACAGGCATAAAATACATGTTCAATCAGAATTCCTTGTGAAACAAAGATATCATTTATGAAGTTACAGAAAATAATGCAAATTAGTTCACAGTAAGAATAAAGTATGTTCTATGAAAAAAGAAGCATGGCCTATTTATTGACTATAGTTAGAAGCATCTTAATAAAAAGTATCTCTGCTGACTACCAACCTAATTAAAATTCTCAGAGCCATTCCAGCTATTAGAAAAATCTTAGTTTATTATGCCACTAGGTGGTGATATAAAATCACTAAGAATTTTCATACAGCCCATCAGATGTAATTGATGGACTTATTTTCTTCCTATAGTTTATATATTCTTAACAAAAATTTTCAGTGTTTATATTGGCAGAAAATGGTTTAAATTTCTTGTGACTGGACCCATTTCTAATACTTAAAAAAACTATTATTAATGATTTTTGTTGAATCCAACTTGGACTGCACTTATCTTTGTACCTATATGTTAATAATTTTCACCAAAATTTGAGTAAGTGTAAATCTAGACATCTTAGATAACTGATATATTGCACATTAAGGAGAATAAGATGGGAAATTAGAATTAGAATTCTGTTCCATTACCAGACTGCAAATGGGGTTACTCATTGTCATGAATGTCCACATGTACAAAATGATTTCCACTTCCCAGCACCCTCAGAAACCAAGTTTGGCACACTCCTTTAAATTATATGCTAGTCTGCTATGTGGAAATAACATTTCACAGGAAACAACATTAAATAAATAAAACATTCCACAGCTGCAATTACTGTTTGGATATGGTGTTTGTGTTTGGAAGAGAGGAAATAAAAGTTTAATAGTTAAATACCACATGAGACTTAAAGCACAACACAACTGAACTTCTAGTGATAAAAAGCACAAATAAAACTGGTTAGGACAATGTATACTATGGCATGGTACTTGTCCATGTAATATTTTTTTACAATAAAACTTCTCCTCTTCTAATTATTTAACGGTGCTGAAACAGGGAAGAAGTACTCCCTTATCTTAGTTGTCAAAATAACATTCGGGTTGTAAAAGTCCCAAATGGCTTTGTTTGAGTGACATGATACCTAAAATCAGGAAGGAACCAGGAAAACTAATATTTTGACAATAATATGAGTGAAGGTATGCAGAAATGAATTAGGAAGAGGTTTTATGGACAACAAATAGGAATAACACTAGATATAGCTGCTAAATCAGTGTTAAAGTGGTAAAATAATGCCTTTGAACGGCACTATAAACCTTGAAAATAGCATCCTATTTTGATAGCAATGATAGCACTGTTTGTCCTATGTTTTTAGATGATTAGTTCTTTATTAACATCATAAAAAAACTCATGAAGAAACTAGTTCTGCTACCTTTGAGAATTCTACCCTTCTTTGCTTCAGCTAATCTGGGCTTGAATGATTAACCGGTGACAACTACCAATTAACCAGTGACAATTATGACAGTTATTCTACCACCATACTATTTCTGAAGCTTACAGCTCGGGGGAAGATTCTTGAGTTGTATAGATACCAGTGGTATCAAAGCCACAGCTAAAATGAAATGGACCAAATGAGATTATCAACATTTATGTCAACCTTCACCATAATCTTTGCTCTAATCATCACTAAAGTCATAAATGACTACTATGTATCCTTTCAGATGCAAATAATGAGCCTTATGATTTAACATGAAAAAAATTCCCTACATGTAAACTACTAAATTAGGAACTTTGACCTAATGTGTGAAGAAATCTTTTTCTCTTCTGGAAACCCATCCTAGTTTATATTCTGAAGTAGTATAACCCAGACACAATTCCAATTTCCCAATGAGATAAGAGCTTTATAAACGTGCAAATCTATATCCTCTACTCTTCTAGTTAGTGATTAGTATCCTCTTTCATATAATACAAATTTCTGTAAATAAATAAAAGACCATTTAGAAAAATCTACCTTTATAACTCTTCAATCGTATCCTAAATGCCCTTTGCCCAGCAATAGGCAGAGTTAGTAAAAATGTTTAGGGCATAAGGTGTATTTAATAAATTAGTTCCTGCCTGAAATCAATTCGTTGATTTATAATTTCGAAAGAAAAACCACTTGGTTAATTTACTTATATACAGTACTTGAATAAACTTCCCTCTTCCTACTTTTCTTCAAGCACATCAGGACTGAACCCTGTTTCTATGTCAGTCTCTCAGGATGCCTTCATGGCCAGCTCCTCCTTGATTTTGCGCTGCAATAACAGTGCAGTGATAGCACTGCAAGCAACTAAGCCAAAAAAGGAGCCACAAGACAGGATGATGGAGAGAGATCCATGTCGGTTGAATAAGATATCTTGCCTGTTCTTGTAATCCAAGAAGATGGCTTCCAATTGTGAGAGTGTGCAAATAGCAAGGAAGGTGTGAAAAATTTGATGGGCATGTCCAACAATATCACAAGATCCAGGGAAATATTTTTCAGGAACTGGACAAGAAAAGAAATAAGCACTGACTAGGAAGAAAAGTATCTGGAAGGTGTGATACCAAGCAGCCAACTCTTCACAGCCTTCAAGGTGGCACATAATCACACGGTGGGCCACAGGACTGATGTCCAAGATGAATGCCAATCCCGCTGGGATCACCTGACACACTTTCCTCATGATGGGGTAGGGTCGCCGGTAGCGGTACTTAGCATAGCAACAGCCAGCACACGAGAGCCATCCACAGAAAGCAGCTGCTGGCAAGAAGAAAAGCCAAAATTTGTCATACCAAGCTTGGTCGGAGCTGTAGTAGAAATGGGCCAGGGCGCTTCCATATTGGTAGATGCTGACTCCAACATAATCCACAAAATAGAAAGTATAGTGTGATATCTCTGACTTGGACTGCAAAAGATGAGCTAAGAGGCTGCATGTCAGATATGTAACAGAGGAAAGGACGAAGATGAAGAGGGGTAAGGAGCGGATCTCTAGAGACAAGTTCTCTGCTTCAGCAAATATATTAAATCTCAGCAGCACTGCCAAAGCAGCCAGAAGGTGAGTCCAAACATTAACAACCTCGTTATGTTTTTGGAAAAGACTGAAGAAATAATAGCGCCAACCCTGACCTGTGGGGCGATAGCCAGCTTGTATATAGGGTTCTCTGAAAAGTTGGGGCACATCAGATTCTTTAACTGTGCAAGGCATCTTGGGAAAACCTTCTTCTAGGAGCTGAGGAAGTTGACGGAGCTGTTGTCCACTGATGGACAAGGTGCTGATCCGTTCCAGAATAGCCGTCATCATTAAGATGATTCCTGAAGTGATAAGAATGTAAACAATGTTAAGAAGGAAAATGAAGAATACACAGGCAAATATTTACAATCTCTATATGTCACCATGATTACAGTAACTTTCAAAGTCAAGTCCTTTGGACAAACAACTGGAGAAAGAAAGTGGCAATAAGGATGGTATGATGGGACTCAATTAGCAAAAACTGCATTCCCAGCTTCCATTTTAAAAAAAGAAAAAAAGATGCTTAATCCATAATGGTTTCTTTCATGTTGAGTTGTATTACAGACATATCTTAAATGAACATAAATCAATCTTATTGTCTTCCTTGCTTTTTACAAGTTTATTTCCATTTATTAATCAAAATTAGCATTGTTATTCCATTGTTTTAAAGTCACTTGATTCCTAAAAGAATATTTGGATACATTACAACCATTGTGAAATTAATGTATTTGGGAATTGTATAATTTGAAGTCCACAACAAAGTTTTAAGAAACAAATCTTCAAAAAATCATTACATTTACATTTGTGAATGTTCTACCAAAAAAAGTACTGCAGATTAGTTATTAGTAAATTTTGATTCAGGGAAAAACAGTAGGTATATTAAAATTATTTCCATCAGAAAATAATGCCTGAGAAAGAGTTGAGCTATAAAGCGCTATAAAGAGTTGAGATATAAAGGGTCTTCAAACACAGTAGCCCCAAATTATTTCCACATTCACCTCCCAAAATTCCTTTCAAAAGATAGTGGGGTTTATATCATCAATATCCTATTCTTAGTTAATTATTATAGTGGTATAATAGTGGTAATTATGTAATAATAATCCAAAATAATGTTGCATCCCTAAATGTCAAGAACACATTTGGTGATAGCTAAAATGAAACAACATATGAAGATTGAAATATCAAGTTTAGCACATTCAATACAAGTAAATCACTGCGGAATTCAATATCCTGGGTCCTACGTCAAATATTCCCTATTTAGGAAAGTGCATAGGTTACTAACCAAGTATTAAATTTCAGAGTCAGTAATGACGGGAGCAATGACTAATGTGACTGTCTCAGAAACATAAAGTCATAGCTGTGCCACATATCTCAGTGGCAAGCATGGAGGACGGATTCTTGTATTTCTAAAGCTTATGTTTTAAGCATTATGCTAGATCCGGGATGGCGAACCTATGGCACGCGTGCCACAAGTGGCACGCGGAGCCATTTGTCAGGGCACGCAAGGCTGAGTTCAGCCTTTTTTAAAAGACATTTTTCACCCTCCCCAGGCCCAAGAGTCTGGGGTGGGTGAAGCCTCCGGAGTGCAAAAAAACGGCCCTACAGGCAAACTGGAAGTTTGGGAATGGTTTAGGTTTTAGGTTTTATTCAACTTGTATGCCGCCCTATTCCCGAGGGACTCAGGGTGGCTAATAAAACCGAAGGGAAGGGGAACAATACAAAAGGAAAGGAAACAAAAACAAACAACAATGCAAAACCAATTTAAAAGGTCTCAACAAGCAAACCAATTCGAGTGGGGATGGAACTCAGCAGCCTCAGGCCTGC